TCACCATAGGCTCTTGCTCATATGTTGTTTCATGAAATTCTTCTGTGTCTTCCAATTCCTTTCGATACAGTGACTCAGTATATTCTTTTCATCTTCTTTTAATACTTCCTGGATCATAGTCATAAAAAATAAGACCCTCAGTGAGATTGATCAATGTAGTGATGATTGTGAGAGTGGCACAGGGTCTGACAGAGTGTTATGGACAAGTTGGAGCTGACTCCATAGCACCCAACAGCAACAGCAACCTAGTATACCCTTTTCCTGCAGGCATGGCTGACATGAGAGGAGAAGTGGACAGAGGTGGAAAGGGGCATCATCTATACAGAGGTAGTTTGGGGCTGCTTGACTGGAAACTGAGGCATCAGGTTTGGGAGTGAGAGTGGCTAACTGGAGGCAGGGAGTACCTACTCGTGTGTGTGTGTGTGTGTGTGTGTGTGTGTGTGTGTGTGTACTAAATGAAAGGGGGTCAGAGAAAGAGTGTGTGTGATAAAGAGTCAGGAAAAGGCCTGGAATAGGAGAGAAGAAAAGAGAAAAGAGGCCGGCTGTGCCCAGGCTGCCATTCTCTGCCCCCACTGCGTAGCTGTCCTTCAGCCTGTTCTATGGTCCTCTCTGAAAACATTCTCCTCTTGTTGTTGTTTGTTGTCAAATTGCAACTGACACACAGCTGACCCTCCAGCAGGTTTTCAGAAGCCCTAGGTCATATGGGAAGAGACTGTCTATCTTTCTCCCACAGAGCAGCTGGTGGATTCAAATCCACATGCTTTTGGGTTGGCAGTGCAGCTCCTTACCACTAAGTCATCAGAGCTCTCTAACCCTGCTGTCCTTTTAGAGACAGAGAAAGACCACAGTTCCCCAAGACTTCCAGACAAGGTGTTAGAGTCAGTGCAGGGAGGGTGGGCATGTGGACAGCAGAGAAGATACCTGTATGGGACGTGGACACTGCCATGGCCTATACTGACATGGCCTGTCACAAGCTGGCCAGCCTCGTATGTGGCTGTGGTACCTGAGCAGGTGTCGATCTCCTTCCTGGACAGAGATGGAGAGAAGACTGGAGGAGAGGGACACAGGGCAGCCCAAGAAAACCAGAACTGATACAGACAATAGGGTTAACAGGAGCCCAGGGACATGGTGACACCTTGTCCACTGAGCTGTGGTCACCTGAGCCTCCTGGTGCTCTCGAGTCTGAATGTACATGGGGTGGAGGTGACATGACCAGTAGGCTGGATGGACCCAGGGCCTGGCCCTGTCCACATACCAACACACAGCATGTGTATGGTACATGTGCAGATAATGTAATGGCACACATGAATGTACATATCAACACACAAGTGCACATGTCTGTAGGTACACAGCAGCACATGGCAAGCACATGGGCAAATATGCAGGCATGTGTTGACACCCATGAATGCACATATTAGCACACATGCCCACACATTACAGCACACAAAAAGCATGCGGGCAGACATGCACTGGTACCCATGAATGCACATGTCAGCACATGTGTGGACACACATGCATGTACACAGCAGCACATATGCACTCACACACCAGCATGTGTATATGTGCACCCATACACTAGCAAATGCACACATGTCCTGCACACCTAAGGCAGGTGACAAGCTAGAGCTGGTGCAGAGCCACAGGGATAGGGGCACACACGCACACCTGTTTACCTACTCTTTGCACACATGGAGAGGACAAGTGTAGAGACCTTTGAGTCTCCTGCTATTGCACCAGGCACACCTGTCCTGGAACAATGAGGAATCTCCACAGGAAATCAGGGCCCTCTTGTAACTTTTTAATTGTGTTGTTGTTATGTACCATGTTGTTGTTGTTAGGTGCTGTTGAGTCAAGTATAAACCATAGCAATCCTCTGAATAACATATCTGAACCCTGTTCTCTCCTGTGCCATCCTCATACCTCCTGACACACTAAAGCCCATTGTAGCAGTCACTGTGTCAATCCACCTGGTCAAGGCTCTTCCCTTGCTTCACTGACCTCCACCTTTCCGAGCATCATGTTCCTCTCTGAGGAGTAGCTCCTCCTAGCAACAAGCCCAAAGTATGTGAAGCAAAGCTTTATCATCTTTGCCTCCAAAGAGCACTCTGGCTGCACCCTCTCCAATACATATTTGTTTAGTCTTTTGGCAGTCCATAAGATTTTCAGTGCTTTTCTCCAACACCACACCTCAAAGACATCAATTCTTCTTCTGTCATCCTTATTCATTGTCTAGCTCTCAGATGCAACATGGTCTGAATAAGATGCACCTTAGTCCTCAAACTGACATCATTACTTCTCAATATTTGGAGAGTTTCCTAATTGCAGACTTTTCAATGTAATATGTCTTATGATTTCCTTCTTGACTACTGATAGCAAGGGTGTTAATTGTGGATCTAAGTAAGATGAAGTTGTTGACAGTTTACATTTTTTCCTCTATCTACCATGATATTGTCTATAGGTCTAATAGTAAGAATCTTTGTCTTCTTGACACTAAGATGCAATCCATATTGAAGGTTGTGTTCTTTGATCCTCTGCAATAAGTAGTTCAAGTGCTCCTCACTTTCAGTAAGCAAGGTTGTGTCATCTGTATAATGCAGGTTACTGATGAGTTTCCCTCCAATCCTGACACCACACTCCTCTTTATAGAGTCCAGCTTCTCTAATTATTTGCTCAACATACAGACTGAACAGGTTTTGGGAGAAAATACAACCCTGGTGCACTGCCTTCCTAACACTGTAGTGTTTCCTTGCTCTGTTTATGTAACAGCCTCAGAGTCTCATATGAGCACACGTGCTCTGGGATCTCCATTTTTTGGAATATATTGGTAATATATCAAATGACCTAGAAAGCATCAAAAGAATATGAAGAGAATACACAGAATCACTGTCCCAGAAAGAATTGACTGACATGGAAAAAATTCAGGAAGTACCATAAGAACAGGAGCCAGTGGTAAATAAGAAGGAGGAAGCGGAAGCTGCATTGAAGACATTGGTAAAAAAACAAGGCCTCAAGTTTGGGAGTCTCAGCAGGGAGCAGTGAGCCTCAGGAGAGAGGAGCAAGTAGGACAGTGGAAATTTGAGTGAGATACTTAGGGATGATCACTGCTGATTGATAGACCAATTGTGGGACCCCTTCACATTAAGCAGGAGGGAGTGAGACAGCATGAACCTGATTGGGGTGGAACACCCAGTTCTTGGGAAAATGAAGGCTTCCTGATTTTTCCATTCAGCTCTCCCCCACCCCCCACACACACTACCCCCACATGGGTATGACTACATATCTCCCCCACTCCCCTAGACCTCATGTGCATACACACACACCTGCCCAAGCTTCTTCTGGAGCAATGACATCAGATCAAGAACCAGCTAGTGCTTCAGGCACAAAAAACTCTACCACAGCAATGTCATGAAAGAAGCAGGCTGTCTCATTCCTACACAAGCCCAAAGCAAGATAGCACAAAAGGTGGGGGGGGGGGGAAGACACAGTATCAACACATTTCCTGAAGTCAGATAGAACTTTCCAACACAGAATTTAAAAGAACAATGATTGAATATTTTCAATGTGTGAAAAACAATCTTGAAGAATTACAGGACACTGCGAGCAAAAAACCAGGAGGGGCTTTAAAAAAATAATGCAAATAAAACAAATGAGGCATTAGAGGCTCTGGAAAAACAAGAAATCACAATCCAAAAAATGAGATCCAATGTTTCAGATGCTGTCAACATGATGGAGGGACACATGAACAGAGTTGAAGAGATGGAACACAGAACCAGTAAAATAGAAGATAGAATTGTCACCACTGATCTGCTGGAGCAAAAAGCAGAATCAAAAAGAAAGGAAAAAGAAGAAAACCTAAGAATAATGTAGGACACCATCAAGAGAAATAACATGTGCATCATCAGAATCCCAGAAGAGGAAGAAGCCAGTAAAGGCATTGAAAAAGTTGTGGAAGAATTACTAGAAGAAAACTTCTCAGGAATAATGAAGAATGAGAGATTATATATTCAAGAGGCTGAGTGAACTCCATATAGAATAGACCCCAAAATAAAAACACCAAGGCATATCATAGTCAAATTTGCCAGAAGTAAAGATAAGGGGAGAATTCTGAAAGCAGCGACGGAGAAACAAAGAGTAACCTTTAAGGGAGAGCAGATAAGATTAAGTATTAATTTCTCAGCAGAAACCATGCGAGCAAGAAGACAGTGGAATGACATATATCAAACAGTCAAACAACACAACTGTCAACTAAGAATACTGTACACAGCAAAATTGTCCATCAAATATGAAGGAGAGATCAAGATATTTCCAGACCAGCACTGCAGGAAACACTGAGGGATGTCCCTCTTACAGAGGTGCCACAGAAAGCAGGATGGACCAAAGTCACTGGCAAAAACACCAAAAGAACTCAACAAAATGATAGCAATAAAACCTTGGCTCTCAATAATCATACTGAATGTGAATGGTTTAAATGCACCACTGAAGAGAAAAAGAGTAGTAAATTTGATTTAAAAAACCCCAAAATCCATCAATATGCTGTCTACAAGAGACAAGCCTGAAAACTGAAGATAAAAAAAAAAAAAGACTGAAAGTAAAAGGGTGGAAAAAGAATATACCAAGTAAATGGCAACCAGGAAAAAAAGCAGGAGTAGTGATATTAATCTCTAATAAAATAAATTTCAATGCAAAAACCATCACAAAGGACAAGGAAGGTCACTACATAATGCTTAAAGTATTAATAGAACAAGAGAACATAACAAAAATAAATATCTATGGACCAAATGAAAGACCTGCAAAATATATAAAACAAACATTAACAGAAGTTAAAAAGAAAATAGACACCACCACTATAGTTGTTGGAGACTTCAATACACCACTTTCAAGAAAAGATAGAACTACCAGAAAGAAACTCAGTGAAGCTGCTGAAGAATTAAACCATATAATAAACCAACTAGATCTCATAGATATTTAGAGGGTAATGCACCCCAAAAAAGCACAATATACCTTCTCCTCCTCCAAGAATAGATCACATTTTAGGTGACAAGGCAAACATAAACATAAATAAATTAAAAAAAAATAGAAATAATGCAAAGCATCTTCTCTGACCACAATGCTACAAAATCAGAAATTAATAACAAGAGGATAAATGAGAAGGAACCATACATTTGGAAGCTGAATAACACTTTGCTTGAACATGAGTGGGCACTAGAAGAAAGAAAAAATGAAGTTAAAAAGTTTCTTGAAACAAATGACAATGAAAACACCACTTACCAAAATCTCTGGGAAACAGCCAAAACAGTCAGTAATCAGAGGTCATTTTATATGAACAAGCAAACACATCAAAAGGCAGGGAAAAAATGACCATTGAGTCTCTAACTCAACATCTCCAACAAATTGAAAAACAACATCAAGAAAACCTGACACTCTCTAAAAAAACTGAAATTATAAAAATTAGAGAAGAAATAAATAGAAAACAGAAAAACAATTGAAACCATCAACAAAACTAGGAGTTGGTTCTTTGAAAAGGCCAGTAAAATTGACAAACCACTAGCAAAACTAACAAAAGAAAAGAAGAAAAGCACACAAATAATCTGAATAAAACATGAAACGGGCAACATCACAACAGAACCAACTAAAATAAAAAGGCTAACAATGAAATATTATGAAAAATACACTTAGACTAATATGAAAATCTAGAGGAAATGAACAAATACTTAGAAATTCACAACCTATCAAAACTGACACAAACCAAAACTGAATACTGAACAAGACCCATTACAAAAGAAGACATTGAAAATGTAATAAAACAACTTCCAGCTAAAAAAGCCCTGGGCCACATGGTTTTACAAGTAAATTTTATCAAACATTCAGAGAAGAACTGTCACCAATTCTACATAAACTATTTCGGAAAATAGAAAAATATGGAATTTTCCCAGACTCATTCTATGAAGCAAATATATCCTTGATACCAAAGCCAGGTAAATACACC